AGAACTTTTTAAAATAAAAATATATGATCATATACATGTTGTTTTATAATAGTTTTTTTAACCAAATTGTATGTGTCTTTTGTTTTTTCTGTAATACCTTTTTAGATGGCTACAGTGTATTCCATGGTATGAATGTACCATAATTAACTTAAGCATCTTACTGGATACTAAGTTTTTTTCAGTATGCTTCTACCTCTAGCTCACTTTAAAAATGGAGGTGTTGAATTTTTCTTTAATTCTAAGGGTTCTTAATATATTAAGCTTTGGGAAATTTCTCCCAGTTAATTAGGAAGGAATTGAAGGAGCTGGACAGATGGAGAAGAGGTTGGAAGGAGGAAGGGCGCCTAAACCCAAAGGGGCAGCTTAGCTTTTGCCTCTTTCTTGAGTTCCAACTCCACATTATCGACCCTCACCTGTATATTTTCTAGTATCCTAAACTCTGCATGGCTAAAAGCCCATCATCTTCTTTCCCCAGTGATGTCTTCCTATTGGCATTTCTATTCATATTTAGAGTATTCTTTTCTCTACTTCTCAGACTGGAAACATCCTAGTCATGTTTCTCAGTCTCTCTTTTCCCTTCCTCATTACCAGTTTGGAGCTTCAGCATCTCACACTTTGGCATTCTGCAATGAGTTCACTCTCTGTACTTTTAAACTCTTCCTACTCTTGTCTGTCTTGCACATTTCAAAAATTAGGCATTCGAAAACATGACTCTAATTATGCCATTTCTCTGCTTACAGCTCCTTTAGCATTTCTCCATTCTTTAATAAATTATAGGGGCATTAGATGCCTTTTACAACCAGAAATCACCCACTTTTCTCAGTTTATCACTCACTCCCCGGCATCGTAGTACAGTCCGTCTGGGTTATAACCTCTTCTTTGACCATAGCTTGTATTCTTCAATGCCTGTGGCTTCAAGTCATGTTGTTCATTGCTATGGAAAATCTTGTGCTTCCATATTTGCTTACAAAAACTCTTGTCATCCTTCAAGGCTCAGATTGAATGTTGTTTCTTTTTTTTAATCCTTCCCCAGTCAGGCAGTCCAGAAGTCCCTACTTCACATTTTTGTGACACTTGATTCTGTGTCTCGTACGCAGTTGTTTTACTGACATACTGTTTTTTTTTCCCCTGTATTTTGTTTACTCTCAGATATTATAATTTCTTGATGCCAGGGATTTTTGCCTTGTTTGTTTATCGTCTTATTACATTATCTAGCATCAGGGCTTACATATAGCAAATGCCCAGTAAACATTGTTTAATAAATCAGTGAAATATGAACAGCTCAAAATTGTATTATAAGCTTCCATAAAAGAGGTTAATATCATTATCATAACCGCTGTAGTCTAACAAAACTGGGTTTTGTTTCATTCTTTTATATCTGGTTATTTGCAGATGGGACTGAACTAGGATAGAATTTTAAATTTGGAAAAGATTGCTTTTTGGATTTCTCTACCTTTTTGCCTATTTTCAGGTGAAGTCATACTTTGTTCTTTCCATCTTCCTGATTTCAAAATGAATTTACCAAATCTGGTTACTATTCTCTAGACAGTAGTTTGCAAACTTGACTGCTCACCAGAATCACTGGGCTTTTACAGTCCTGAAGCTTAGGTCTAACCGAAGCCAGATAAGCCAGATTTCTGTGGGTGAATTTTAGGCATCAGTATTCGTTTTTACAACTTGCTAGGGACCTCAGTGTGCAGTCAAAGTTGTGAACTACCGCAATAATGACTTTGTTCTCAAACTTTTATGTGTATCAGAATCACCTGGGTAACATGATAAAACTAGAGAGGCCCAGCCCTAACCTGCTTCAGGGAGCCTGTTGTTTAATCTTTGATTAGCTCTCCAGGCTATTCCAAAACACACTGATGCTTGAGAACCACCGCTCTAGCTAAATGTTACCTCTCCCAGGTAAGATCATGCAGCCTAATTAAAATCCATGGGTTCATTCACAAGGTCCTGAAGGAACTCATGCTTATTGGTGGGAATTTCATAAAGCCTATTTGGGAATATGATTAAAAAATATTTATACACATTGCTGTCTTTACAATAGTAGCTCCTGAATGTCAGATGGGCATTTATTCATAGATTTATGTTATTGTCATCTTGGTTGTAAGCTGTAAATGTTTAGCGCAAATGAAGTAATTTACTTTTTGGAACATGATGACCTCTATTGTTTCCTCTGCTCTGGCCCAAAACACAAACTAAATAGAGAGCATATGTGAGGCATAATGTAAATCTCTGGAGCAAATCCAGGGCACACTAGTTCAGTCTGTAGATACACAACTATCTCTGGAGTAAGTGAAAAAATAATCCTGTAATGTTAGATGCTATTTCTGTTAAGCTTAAGGTGGGATACTCCTGAGAGAATTTGAGTTTCTTTTGTTCATGGATAAAAATATACTCAAAGGACTGCGCTTAACACTGTAAAAAGGATATATGTAGGCTCTTGGCATGGGAAACTATACTTTGAGACCATTATTACCTGTATTAGCCCTCTGTGTGCTTCCAAAGCTTAGAAAAAACAAATGTTTTTCTTTTTTTAAAAAAAAAAAAAAAACCTGGACAGATACTGGAAAATTGTTTTTCACATTGTTGGTTACTGTTCATCTCCACTTGAATTAACCAGGCACATTGTATTTCTTCCCATCTTTGAAATATTTTCAAAATGGATTAAATACTCTATGAAGTCTCTTCTAGTTCCAAAAGTCTATGATCCGACATACTGGATTCTCAACTTGGAATTATCAAGCTTTTGCCTCCAGACCTGGTACTCTTAGCAGGCACATCTCAGCATAGGATGGGCATGTCTGTTCTACCTTTGATTTTCATTTATTTTTCCAAATAGGCTTCGTGTTTTGAAAGGTTTCATAGCAACTGAGTACTCAGGCTATTATCACTGCAAATAAACTAACTTAAAGTAGATATGTAGCTTGCAGCAATGTATGTATAATATATATTGATTTTAGTTTATAAGCGAATCAAACGTTTCAAACATTTTAAGCCTCTGTAAACATTTTAAAGGCTGTGAAAAGGAAATTGATATTGCTAATGCAGACGAGATAGAGCTCTCTATTTTGTTTTTACTTTATTTTCTGTTTGTGATTATTACTCAGGAAAAATTGCATTTTTTTCTTTAGTGAGTTAAAGAAAGGCTGCATTATCTTCTATTATAAAACATTATTCAATAGAAGGATGTCAGACATAGTAGCATATCTCCAAATTCATTTATAATAGAAAATGGAGGTTTCGGATGAGTGAAGTATTTATTTTGTTTGGTAACTGAAATAATCTACAACTTGAAATATGTTTATAAATTTTTGCCTGTGTCATTATTTTGCGTCATTTTTCCTTCTGATAATACTTTTCCTTCTGCTAATACTTATTCTCCACTTTAGGAAACGGAAGTGTTTTAGAAAACAATTTTGTGGGGTGTAAGTATTATTGTTGGACAGCAGAGGGCACTACAGAGTAAACAGAGACTGCAGGGAAAGGGAGGGTGTTTTACACATAACTGGCGAGTGTCCTGGCTTCTGTTGATTGGTGCTTGTCTGTAATTATCAGATTACATGGCCCAAGTCTGTGTTTTGTGGAAAGAATCCACAAGTACATACAGAGAAGGAGAAAACAGACAAATAATAAAGATGGCATTTTCCATGTCCTTCAGACAAATTACATCTGAATTTTTAAAATAATCTATTTTTTGTTACTAGTCCTCTTGTGGAAGATTCACATACCATAATATTCACTTTTTAAAACTGTATAGTTATTGGGTTTTAGTATTTTCTCAAGGTCGTGCAATCACCACTATCTAATTACAGAATATTTTACCAAGAAAATAAACCTTAAAATTTTTTTTTTTCTTTTTTAATTGAAACAGAGTCTTGTACTGTCACCAAAGCTGGAATTCAGTGGCCTGATCTTGGCTCACTGCAACTTCTCCCTCCCAGGTTCAAGCAATTCTCCTGTCTCAGCCTCCCAAGTAGCTGGGACTAAAGGTGCACACCACCACGCCGGCTAATTTTTGTATTTTTAGTAGAGACAGGATTTCACCATATTGATCAGGCTGGTCTCGAACTCCTGACCTCAGGTGACCCACTCACCTCGGCCTCCCAAAGTGCTATGATTACAGGCATGAGCCACCATGCCTGGCCAAAAGAAACTCTTAGTAACAACTATTAGTAGTTACTTTGATTTCTGCTTCTTCTCAGCCTGTGGCAAGCAAAATCGACTTTCTGTCATTATGATTTGCCTGTTCTGAACAGTTCATAGAGATAGAATCCTACAATATGTGGCTTTTTGTGTCTGACTCCTTTCACTCAGCATAATGTTTTCAAGTTTCAGTCATGTTGCAGCACACGTCAATACTTCATTTTGTAAAATGACTGAGTAATATCCTATTATATGAGTATACCATATTTTATTTATCCATTCATCAGTGATGGATATTTCACTTTTTTCCACCTTTTGACTATTGTGAATAATGCTGCTAGAAACATCTGTGTACAATTTTTTTTGTGTGAACATGTGTTTTCATTTCTCTCCGTGTGTACCTAAGAGTCCAGTTGCTGGGTTCTATAGGAACTCTATGCTTAAGTTCAGAGTAACTGCCAAACTGTTTCTTACAGCAACTGCACACCATTGTGCATTCCCACCCACAATGCATGAGGGTTCAGATTTTTCTACATCCTTGCCAACACTTGTTATTGTCTGCCTTTTTGATTATAGTCATTCTAGTGGGTGTGAAGTGACATTATATTTTCTTTTTCATTAATGCCAACGAACTGATGAAGTGGCATTTCAATGTTACTTTGACTTGCATTTCCAAGAAATAGATTCCTTTAAACTTTTAGGATTCAGGCATTTATTTGAAAACTACAATCTACCTTGCTACACCGATCTAAACACACCATGTTTCTGTCCTCTGTGTAGTTAGTTTGGCTATAATGGAATGAATTTTTACAGTGTTTACCTCTCTTTTTTCTTATATTTCTGATGACCAGATGCTGACAAAGCTGCTTTTCTCATGGGCATTAACTCCTCTGAGTTGATAAAGGGCTTGATCCATCCTAGAATCAAAGTTGGTAATGAATATGTTACCAGAAGTCAAACTATAGAACAGGTAAGGTGATATTTAAAGAGCATTATTATTCTATGATTTTCCAGTAATTGTATATATATTGTACTTGTACATTTTTCAATACGAAGAATGTCTGAAATAATAGAAGCTTCTATTAAAAAAAAAAGCTACTGGGATGTGTATTCCAAACATGTTTACTTGTGACGCACAGCACAGTAAATGCTCTTGTCTGAAACATACATTTTGAAAGTGTTCCCTTAGGTAGTAAGTATCTTTACGGGTGAAGGCAAACCCTTCACTTGTGATTAACATCTTTGTTATCCAGCGAGGAAACTTTCAACGCTGTTCGTTCCTAACGTGGATAAAATTGGCAAATTGGCATGCCTTATGTATTTGGCATATTGATTCCTTTGGCATACAAGACACATGCAACATGTTAGTTAAGAAATGGTTTTAGGACATATGCTAAAAACCAGTATTTGAAGGGAAGTGGGTATTGAAAACAGAAATGAGAGGTGGATGGTCATGTAGGTTTTCTTTAGCATCTGGGAGAATGTTATAGTGGAGAAGTTTATAGCAATAGAATAACAAATTCTCTGAGGCTTTGCCTTAAGGTAGTAAATGTTCCCAGGGCCACTGGATAATGAGACCAGCTAAGTATGCTAGTATGTTTCAAAAATAATAATTTATATCTGTAATGTGTAGGGGTCAATATGAGATAAGCTGTGCTGCAGTAATGCATACACACTCAAATCTCAGTACAACAAAATATTTTTTTCATCAAGCCCAATACAGAGTATATAGCCTTCCCCATTTTGCAGTTCTATGTAGTTCTTTTGTAGTTCTGTGTAGTTCTATGCCATCTGGGACACATGGCCCCCAAAGTGACTGCACAAGGAGAAAAAATAATTTGTAGAGAAAGTACAACCACCTTTAACTGCTTGGGCTAGAAGTAATATCACTTTCACTAACATTCCATTGATAAGAATTAGTCAAATAATACCCTTAGCTATGAAAGGGGGCTGAGAAATGTAGCCTTTCCGGAAAGAGCAAATGGTGTCATATATAGTATGGATAAAGCATTCACAGGTATTATTGCCTTCTATTCTTATAGTAATACTCAGAGCTAAGTGGGGCAGAAATGCATACTTTACATTTTTTTCTAGTTGAGGAAACCGAGGCTAAGGGAATGTTAACTAACATTCCAAAGGATATATAGCTAGTACTCAGGTGATACTGATTGTCTTATTCAGCATATGCCCTAACTTTGAAGATAGACAAATGTACAAATTCATGATTTAAGACAGTCATCTTATATGTGATGACTAGATGTGTTTCCCTCACTATATTAAGGTAACTGATGTGTCTATGTTATTTACAACACTTAAGTGACTAATCAAAATCAATTTATTAATTTAGCGTACTCTATAAATGGATAATTCTACCTCTACTATAATACTAACTATACTATATTGAAGTAATCTGCTTTCATTTTTGTCTTCTAACCTCTTTGAGGCATGGGCTATATCTACTTCACCTTAGTACCCCAAGCATCTAAAACAATGCCCTGTAAGCAGTAAGTGCTCCACACGTGTTAAAATAGACTACATTGAGCTAAACTTGAATCATGATCAGCACGACACATAATTGAGCTATTTCTCGGCAGTGGGGTTAGAGTTGTTCGGCAGCTTCAGCCTTCTTAGACATTCACCACAACATGCATGCATGACATGCTATGATTTTAGAACAGGGTTTTCCTCTGTATAAAACTAACGAGGCTGAATAGTAGAAGAGCAGATTTTGAATGTTTCTAAGATAAAGAAATGATCAATGTTTGAGGTATAGATGTACTGATAACCCCGATTTGATCATTACCACATTGTATACATGTAAAAATATACTATACCTCATAAATATATGTAATTGTCAATTAAAATAATAAAAACAGAAACATATATAATAAAACTAATGAACCCAGAGGAGGGCTGAGATCAAGGCTTCGGCTCTCTAATATTGTGTTCTGAGGGACTGAGAACACAGTATTCTGGTAAGGACTTCAACCTTTACTATAATAGGACCAGTGAAACAAGCTAATCTATTATTATTGAACATTAAAATTAAAAAATTCTCCTCTTTGTCTCTCTCCTGGAGACACAGTAAGAAAGCACACTCTAAGGCTTTTTTTTTTCCCCTTGGGAGTTTTACTGATTTCGTAGAGACAATTGCCACTGCTAAAAATAGAGACATGTATGCTCTGTTGATGACAATTGCAAAAGATGGGAAAAATTTTTGCCGTGTTAACATTCTATACAAAATTTAGTTCTAGTTATAATGCTACCTGACTCTGATACCGTGGTTAATTATCTTCATCTCTCTGAGCCCCCCAGGGAAGTGGTTGAACAACTTTGTTCCTCCATGGTAATTGGCATTTATGATGGGACAATTCTTTATGGATGAGAGTGTCCTGCACATTGTAGATGTTTGGGATTCCTGGCCCCCAGGTAACTAAATGCCAGTTGTATTCTTAGTCACAGTGACAACCAGAAAATGCCACTTGCATCTCCAAATGCATTCCTCCTTTGGGGAGATATCATCCCAAGGTGAAAACCACTCTATATGACTAATGACTACCAAGAACTAAGGGTCTTCAGGTCTAGTGTTTTATGATTTTATGATATTTCTAACTATTTCAACTAGAAATAAGTTACTTTATGATTAATAATAACCAAACAATAATAATAATATCCACCGAGTCTAACTATAGGTGAACTACTAAGTGCTTTGTATGGGTTATCTCATTTAATTTAATAACAAGCCTGTGAAGTAGATCTTACTATTTCCATTTTACAGCTAAAGATAATGACCCTTAGAAAGATTAACCACTCAAGGTGACACATCTAGTAAGTAAATACTGGGGTAAGGATGAGGAAGTGATAAAAGCAGAAAAGGAGTGGGAAAGGGAGGATTTACATTGATTGGATACTAAGTGTCAAATGTGCTCTATTGGTTTGCATCCTCTGTCTCACTGGATATCTCACAACAACCCTGAGCTATGCAGATTTCATTATTCTTATTTTACAGATGAGAAAGGCAGGGATCAATATAGTTAAAAATTTTGGCTGGGCACAGTGGCTGATGCCTGTAATCTCAGCACTTCGGGAGGCCGAGGCAGGTAGATCACCTGAGGTCAGGAGTTCGAGACCAGCCTGGGCAACATGGTGAAACCTCATTTCTACTAAAAATACCAAAAATTAGCCAGGTGTAGTGTGCCTGTAATCCCAGCTACTTAGGAGGCTGAGGCAGGAGAATCACTTGAACCTGGGAGGTGGAGGTTGCAGTGAGCCAAGATCACACCATTGTACTACAGCCTGGAGTGCAACAGAGCAACGCTCTGTCTTAAAAAAAATAAATAATAATAACTATTTGACTTTGTTTTTTTCTGTTGTTGTTTTCTATCATGCACTATTACCCCCAGTAACCAAAGTCTTCTGTGAGGTTATTTTAAAAAGAGCTAAGAAATGGATCCATTTAACCCCTGAGAAGTGGAAGTATAGATTTAGCCACCTTATTCCCTCTTCATTGGACAGAAAATGATGAAAATGACTAATTAGTGAGTAACATATTGATCTGTTTCATTAATTCATTCCACAGACCTTTCCCATCCATTTCTCCTTCTGCCTACATCTCCAGGCTTTCTTCCTGTGTTTCCCCACCACTTGCCACACCTGACCTAACAATGTCTCTCCCACTCCCACTTGTCAAGTATTTAGGGAATTAAAAGGGGGTGAGCAAGTTAGTCATGTTCTTTTTAAAGTTTCAAAGTGACTGCTGTAGACAGAGTGATTTCTTCGGTGTTAAAGAGGATGAAAATCATTCTTGATGCTTTATTTGTACGTGTGTCCTCCTGATGCTGATAATAAAAAACTGTGATGCCATCCGGCTTATGGATTACTGTGGAAATGACTCAAGATAACTGATCAGGGAGTGGGTGACTCATAACTAAATCACCACCAGACACCAACTGGCTCCTGCTGCTTGCCCTCTCCTGGGCAGAAGGATGGATGTGATAGGCCTGTTTTAAATGTTAAGTGGTTGGAGCACGTTCTGTTTCCAGGTTTGGAGAATGGCCAGCTAAAATTCTGTCCTCCTTAGAGTATGTCAGAAACCTGCTACTGCAGCAGCGCTTTAGAGTTATGGAAGCAGGATCTGCAGTCATATAGCATCATCCAGGCACAAAGATTGGAGCTCTCCCCAGTAGGTTACTTTAGAACTTTTGCCACACCCCTCCAGGGGAGGAAAAGGCAGCCTCAGTTTTACAGTAGGAGAATCTGAGTCAGCATAATGCACCGAATGGCTATTCTCTGTCCAGGTTGTTGAAAGCAACACTGGGAACTAATGTAATAAAGATTTGGAAGCCAAGGCTAGGAAGACCCTTTAAGAGTGTTTTTCAGATGAAAATGCTGCTTTCTAGAAAGGTTAGGTCACTTGCCAAAGGTTGCACAACTCATTAGCAGCTACAGCAGTGGCAGAACAAAGGTTAGGGATTATAAATTGCTAGTATACGATACCAGTACTTTTTAAACTATTGTGCATAGTATTGAAAATATTTTGAAACTTGTTAAAATGGTAAGGAAGACTTTATTCAGGACTGCTGCAATATATACATCGCAACAGGGGAGAGAGATTGTGCTCAGTTGCAAATACAACCAGGATAAGTGGGGATTTATAACGCAAGACCAGAGGGAGGGGATCCGTGGTTGGAAAATTACTAACGCCAGGGGGTAGGAGGATTTTTTTTTTTTAAACTGACCTAACAGGATTCTTGCTAAGGCAGGTCAAGAACATATATATCAAAGGTGAGGGATAAGGAACTTAATCAGAGATGAAGGATGAGGGGATTTCAATGGAGAAATTTAGCAGACTTCTTCCCGCAGCTGGGCTAGTCTGGCTAAAGGCAGGTCGGAGGAGCCTCACTAAAGTTTGGTCGAGGAGAGAGTCTTTGTCAATAGGAAATGTGGGGGATTCTGTTAGCTGACAGATTCTGATTCAGTAGGTGTGGGACTGGGCCTGAGAGTTTGCATTCTTAATAAACTCCCAGGCAATGCTGCTGCTGCTGGTCTTAGGATCACACTTTGAATAGCAAGGCTTTGGAACACATCTCCACACCATACCCTGGGCTAGTTAGCCCTTTAATAATAGGAACCTGATCCCTCTCATCTGTGTTTTCATAAGGTGGCACCAGGCTAGCTTAGCCCTTTCTCCTACCCATCTCCGTTTCTCCTTTCCCTCCTTCCCTACTTTTTTCCTCTCTTTTCCTTCCTTTTTTCCTCCCTCTCTTTCTTCCTTCCTCCCTTCCTTCCTTCCCTCCCTCCCTCCCTCTCTTCCTTCCTTCTCTTTCTTTCTTTTTTCTCTCTCTCTTCTTTCTTTTCTTTTCTTTCCCTCTCCATCTTTCTCTCTCTCCCTCCCTTTCTTTCTTATCTTTTTTCTTTTCTTTCTCTTTTTCTTTCTCTGTCCCTCCCTCCTTCCCTCTCTTCCTTCCTTCCTTCCTTCTCTTCCTCTTTCTTTTTTCTCTTTCTTTCTTCTTTCTTTCCTTTTCTTTCCTTTCCTTTCCCCCTCTCTCTTTCTCTCTCTCCCCTCCCTCTCTTTCTTTTTATCTTTCTTTTTTCTCTCTTTCTTTCTCCCTCCCTCCTTCTTTCTCTCTCTTTCTTTCCCCCTCTTTCCCTCCCTCCCTCTCTTTCTTTTTCTTTTCTTTCTCTCTCTCTCTTTTTCTCCCTCCCTCCTTCCTTCCTTCCCTTTCTCATTGTATTCAGCAGAATGCTAGAACCACAGAAGGTCAATAACGACATCCTGATTTGACTAGAAGGTGGTCGCTGATAGAGAATGCCCAAGATTGAAATGAACACTCCTGTCAGATGAAGGAGTGTTTTCAATGTGATTTCTAGGTAACCTGTGCTGTGGGTGCCCTGTCCAAGTCACTGTATGAAAGGATGTTTAAGTGGCTGGCGGCACGGATCAACAGGGCCCTGGATGCCCAGCTGTCAAGGCAGTTCTTCATTGGCATTCTTGACATCACTGGTTTTGAAATCCTTGAGGTAAGTGCATCTGATAAGAAGGAGGTCAATGCATATGTATAAGAAGATTAGAAAATGTCACTTGAAGATGGGAAAGTATGGTCAAAGCATGAGAACAATTCTGTGCAAATCTTAAGGGCTATCCTAGTTGGAAAAAAGCTATAATTATTAATTATAATTATTGTTATAATTAATGATAGTGTTTATTGATTTCTTAATTCTGGCTCACATAAAGGCAAATAGAGTTAAAGGAATTATGATTTCAAATTTAATACCATTAAGTGTTATTTATTGTAATCTTTAGAAAATTGAGCTTAATGATATTACAATTCAAAATTACAATTAATTGAGTTAATTGAGCATTTCTTACTTGTTGGGTCTACTTGGCATCATATAATAATGGTTATGTTTTTTTGTTTACTGGACATTCTTGAAAGTGGACCTCAATTTTATTTTTATCTCTTCTTTTCACCTATTCATATCCTTGCAGTATAATAGCCTTGAGCAACTTTGCATTAATTTTACCAATGAAAAGTTACAACAGTTCTTCAACCAGCACATGTTTGTTCTGGAGCAAGAGGAATATAGGAAAGAAAGCATTGAATGGGTATCTATTGACTTTGGTCTGGATTTGCAAGCTTGCATAGATCTCATTGAGAAGGTAATATATGTTTTCTCCTTGTCCATTTTCATTTCGGGAGAATTGTCCCTGCCTGCTGCGTTGATCCGTGTCAGGACTCAGGCTCTGTCAGGGGATGGGAAATGGGGGCAGAAAGCCCTGCACATTTTACCTTAATGGTGTTTGTGTGCACGACCCGTGCCATCCGAACGAAACGCTCTCGTCAGTTGCCCCACTCCATCACCTCTAACGCAGGCTTTCACTGCACATTTGTTGCTAATGCGTGGCCTCCACTGAGAATGTACGAGGAAACTTGTCGAGATTAAAAATGGTCATGCTCTTGACTGGAAAAACACAGCGCTGAAAATATGAGCACTGTAGGGCCTGACTGATTAACACAAGGTGAATGAGTAGACCCAGAGCAGCTTAACGAAATTTGGCAAATTAGCATGCAAACAAACAACTGCCATCAATCCTCAAGGCCACTACCTTGCAGGATGTAGTTTGTTCATTTAATTGGACAAGTACCAGTTAGTTTAAGTAATTTATGACAATACTTCATGGCTTATTAGTAAATTAGCTACAGTGTACGGTTCCTGAATTTGGTGATGTCCCAATACTCTGAAATCTTTCTGCTTGTTCTGGGAAAGATGAGTGAGGTTTGCTGGGGAATTCTGTATGATTCTTTCTGTGGCTTTCTCCGCGGCAGCAAGCATGGCGGCATGTGAGTAGTTACAGGCCCCTTGTGCGTTGCCATAAGCGTGGATTGCGGTGAATCTTGAAGATAGATCTGGGCAGCCTGAAGCCTTTAATTTCCTGAAAACTCTAGCTATGCTGTCACATTTGATTCTCAGAAATCCTGCTAGGAAGGAGCTAGGGTGACTGACCTCTCCATGTCCTTTGCAAGCCTCATGTTTTATCAATCTGTGTCTGATCAATTTCATTTATTAGGCTTTAGATCTTCTTGAAAATCACTATTATTTCCAACAGGGAGTGGATACGCCATTGATTTTATTTATTTTTTAACCAGTGAAATTCCTGGGGGAAAGACAGACTGATTAAAAAATAATAATAATGAATTAACCATGAGCTGATTACAAATAGTAATAAAGATGAACCAACTCTGATCTGGTAAATGTATTCTGGCCTTATAAAGCTGTAGTTTTCTCATTAGAAATGAAACAAAAGAACTGGAGGTCCTCAGAGGGACAGATTAAGCTTCTGGCAGTTGCCATCTATACTACATACTGACTTTGATGATGACAAGATGCTGTTTGTAGACAGGAAGGTGGGACATAGACATTGTTCAGATCCTGACAAGTTCTGTGAATGTTACTGATTTTTAGTTGAGCTGAGAAGTCTGTTGCCTCATTTATGCCAGTCTTGGTTATTCCAAATAACACACTAGCATCATGTAATTTCCTGTTGTATTTTCTACTGATACGATAAGATGAGAAAAAAATTACTGACCAGATGATAAAAGGGAAAGCTAAGTCTTTAGTTTTCTATGAACAATTTTAGCAGGATCCAGGTCAGGCAAATGAGAATAACAAAACCTTCCTTGAAAAGATTATAAATTTTGAAAAGACCCATTATGTTAGCTGGGGGCTATGTGAAGAAGATTTGTAGCAAATATTAATAATCAAACTCACTCCTTGAAATAAAATGAGTCATGGGTTATTTTTAAAATTCAAAAGAACTAAAACACATCAACATGTATAAAATGTCATATAGCAGGCATTTCTATATACATATAAGAAAAAAGGATTTTCATATATAAAAGTTTCATATTTGTAAGTTTATTTTAAAAAGTTTATATTAGCTGGGCTCAGTGGCTTATTCCTGTAATCCCAGCACTTTGGGATGCCAAGGTGAGCAAATGACTCAAGGTCAGGAGTTTGAGACCAGCCTGGCCAACATGGTCAAACCCTGTCTCTACTCAAAATACAACAATTAGCTGAACATGGTGGTACATGCCTGTAGTCCTAGCTACTAGGGAGGCTGAGGCAGGAAAAGTAGCTTGAACCTGGGAGGTGGAGATTGCAGTGAGCAGAGATCATGCCCCTGCATGCCAGCCTGGATGACAGAGTGAGATTCCATCTCAAAAAAAAAAAAAGTTTATATAAACTAAAACAAAAAATGTATTCTAATACAAACTTTGTTAATTTGGTCTTCGAGTTTATAGTGACCTCCTTTCACATTTATGCTGTGAACAAATCTATTATAGAATTAGCTCACACTTGTTTCATTACTTGAAATATTCTAGTTTGTTTAGAACTTGGGCATCAAAAATTTACATATTAAAGTATTAATATATGACTACAAATTTATGGTTGTACATAAGGCATTGATAAAGAGGTTTTCCCTATTATTTCTTAACAAATACTCTGCAAATTGTACATTTTAAAACTTGCTATTCATTTGGTGTAAACACCCTGGAAGGCAACATACTTATTCCAGTGATTTAGCTCTTTGGAAAATTTCTCAGAAGATTGGGTAGATTTTAGAATTTTACCAGCCTCAAGAGAAAATTTGCTTCAATACTTTCATTCACTGGTTTTTGAGTCCAAACTACATTACCTAAATTGATCACATTATTTGCTTTATTGGCCTGACTTGACCTGAATAATTTTTACTGTTTCTATATAATGATATACCATCAGACAATAGGAATTTTTCATGCATCAGTAGTCAATAGTAGCAGATATCCCAAAGAAAGGGCTAAAATATTTTAAATCCTAGCAACATCTTGGCATTATGTAAGTGTTATCATCTCCCTAGAGGAGCTTTTCAGATGTGTTAATTCTTGTGTTTTTAATAAAAAATGAACCACATTAATATCTAGTTGTATCTTATATGCACATGAATATTTTCTTTAAACACATAACTCCATGCTTTTTTGGTTGGAAAACTCTTAAATATTTTGTTTGATAATTAATCACGGCAGAGCAGTCAAGTTCCCAGAACTCAAACCTGTATGTCTCAGGGTTCACCTGTCAATTAATTACTTGGCAGAAATGTGCTAAGGGCCTACATGTTAGTTACCTCGGAACTTGCTATGATAAGGGTTATGAAGTGCAAACCCCGGAAGGCATCATCCTGGCACTCCAGGGACTTCTAGTATTATTGGAAATAGCCTTAAAACAAAGGCTTTTATTTTTTATTAAACCACCAAGTTAATCTGTTTTTCAACAATTTGTTGTAGGGCACTAGCCCCACATCACACCCGTGGGTACCCCGAGTTCGGTGGCAACAAAAGAAAGAGAAAAAGACAGATTAAGAGAGAAAGTGGGACCGGGGGGCATCACTCATTACTGGAGGAGACAGTGATCATCCACACTATTTATTGGTTACGATCACTTTGATCCATAGGGTAGGGGTGGAGTGATGGTGGGAAGAGGGTGACGTGATGGTAGAGTGAATCGGTGAGCTGGAACTGGTATGTCATTCTAAAGATTGATAACAGTGGCAGTTTGGGAGTGTCACAAAACAAGAACATGTGGTTATCTTTACCTTATTATGCGCAGCTGGTGGAATGTGGGCCTTACAAGGAGCCTACAAGTCTGTCTATGTCATAGTGCTACAAAGGGGTTCTACGTCCTTGAGCACAATGTTTATGGTAACAGAGCTGAGGTCACCCTGCAGCGGAACATGAGGCATGGAGCATTTTGCCTCCCCAGAGGCCTCCTGCAGTTTGCCGTAATTTGTTGTTCCCAGTTTATATGTTATTCATAACCAATTTATGCAGGCACTCTGTAAGTCCTTTCTCCTTTGCTGCTTCTCCAACATTTGTTTTGATTGCTTTCTCTTCACTCCATTGCTGAGAGATGGAATCCCACCCTAGGTTTATGGCAAAGGCTGAACATATGACATCTAACACTAGATGAGACCAGCATTTTATTACTCACAAATGCTCACAGCCTGCAACGGGGAGACCCTGAACCATGAAGGGCCACAAGAGGGTTGTGCTGAGAATAGAGTGAACAAGCAGGGCCTGTGGGAGGCAGACTTTGTCGTAATTACAGGTGACGTGACAATAGGATCCTACAGGAGGATGTCATAGGCTTGTTTGAATAATTTCATGGGCTGATAGAGAAATTAAACCCATTATTCAGAGATAAGCGGGAACTATGTCTGGTCCCTGCCGTAAGGAGTGTGTTTGGCTAAGGAACTTAATGTGGAAGCACAATAGAAAGGGAACTTTCGAGCCCCTCCTGGTTATTCCCACATGTCAAGACACACAGAATGTTGGGCCTTAATTTTAGCCCTTTTACTGTACTACTGTATGTAACACTCTGCGTAAATGCTGTAGAAAAATGTAAGCATTTCTTATAAATAGCTTTTGCCTTCAGGAAATTTGCAGTCAAGCAAAGGATTTGGAAGTCTAATAAATGTAAAAATACATTAAAAAAATTATGTGCAGTATAAATGCAATAAAATTTTCCTACACACCACATTCTCTCCATCAGCGAGTTGGCACCGAGTTCTAAATTCAATGCATATTTAATTTCTAATGACTTCTCATAAGCTCCAACACTACCAGTATGCTAGACCAAGGGTCAGCAAACAGATTTTGTGGACCCAATCTAGGCTGCAGCCTGTTTATGTAAATCAAGTTTTATGGGAGCGTGGCCACACTCATTTTGTTTACATGTTGTTGCATGCTGCTTCCAGTGCTTCAATAACTAAGTTGATGGCAAAGGTATGACAGAGACTATATGGTTCTTTAGAGAAAAATTGTGCTAAAGGAGGTCATGAGATTTGTAGTAACATATTGTGATTGTTTTTTGAGATGGATCCTCTCTCTGTTGTCAAGGCTGGAGGGCAGTGGCACAATCTTGGCTCATTGCAACCTCTGCCTCCTGGGTTCAAGCAATTCTTCTGCATCAGCCTCACAAATAATAGAGATTACAGGCATGCACCACCATTCCCAGCTAATATTTGTATTTTTAGTAGAGACAGGGTTTCACCATGTTAGCCAGGCTGGTCTCGAACTCCTGACCTTAGGTGATCCACCCGCCTCAGCCTCCCCAAAATGCTGGGATTATAGGTATGAGCCACCTCACCCAACCTGCTTGCTTTTTAAAACCCTTTACAAACGTAGAAGCCATTCTTAGCTTACTGGCTTTCCAATACAGACCGAAGGCAGGACTGAGCCCATGAGCCCTACTTTCTAAACCAATGATCCTCTTTAAGCGTAAATCAAATCACAGCGCTTCATTTAAAAAGTCCCCAAAGGCTTCCTATTACACTTAAAATAAAAGCCACTTGTCTTACTACAGACTGTAAGGCCTTTGAGATCCAGCTGCTACTTACCTCTTTGACATTATCTATTACCATTTGCTCCATCAAGCTAGCTTTGCTCTGCTCACACTGACCTCTGGTAGGACCTCAGACTTGCTGAGTAGGCTCTGGCCTCGGGGCCTTTGCATTCTTCATTTTTCTGCCTGGAATACTTGTGCACAGATCTTCTCAGGTTGTTGTTCTCATTTAGGAGAGGTGTCTTATCTGATGACTCTATCTAAAAGAGCTCCCTTTCTAAAAGAGATCACCTCCTGTCATTCTCAATTTCTTTACTTTGAATGTTTTCTTCAGAGCACTTCTATAAACTAAGTCATTTTTTTAAAGTTATTTCTTTGTTTACTTTCCTATTGTCTGCCACTCCATTAGAATGCATGCACCCTGAGGACAGGCACTTAGTGTATGTGGCTCACATACATGTAACATCAATCACCAGTGGCTACATGTATCGGTATTAAGTAGCAGATATTTAATTAATATTAGTTGAATGGATGATTGCTAGTTCTATGCAGTGAATATTCTTTCCTTTGTCAATTGATTAGGTTCCTGGGAAAGAATTTATACTGACCCCCTACTGAAAGTGCAGATTTTCTTTTTTTTTTTTTTTAATCTGCTGCTCTTATGCCTCTTCAACAGCCGATGGGCATCCTTTCCATCCTTGAAGAAGAGTGTATGTTTCCTAAGGCTACAGACCTGACTTTCAAGACCAAACTCTTCGACAACCATTTTGGAAAGTCGGTTCATCTCCAGAAGCCCAAGCCTGATAAGAAGAGATGTGAAGCTCATTTTGAACTTGTCCATTACGCAGGCGTGGTGAGTTACCTCTGGACCCCCGGGCTTAAGTTTTCCTGACTTTGTTTCAAGTGCACTCAGCCAAAGTCCTTAGATAATATTTAAGTAATGTTTAGATGAAATGAAGAGAAGAACAAAATACATCTTAGTTCCACAACAAAAAAGGTAGTGTTGCTTTTTAGTTCAGGAAATGAAATGGCCAACTACAATAGCCTTCCATGTGCACAGAGGTCAGAAATCTCCAAATGGACTCTGTCACCTCAACTCAAAGCAAGGCAGCTTCAGAAAGGGATGGAGACAATCAAAGTCATGGTTTCCCCCCATTTGTCCTTCCTTTTAACTGAACGTTGTGTGAATGGGTGATTTCAATTGATCTTTTTATTGAAGATTTTTTTTTTTCTCCCATAAAGAAATAGTCAATGTGAAGTAATGGTCTCCAAACTATGGCCAAAAAAAGTTTCTAATGAAGCTCGCTGCCTCTCCTCATTTCCTCACCAGTGTATATACCCCTGTTTCTGCATTTCTACTTTTGGCGGATGATTCTGGGTGGAGCAAAAAGAGAACTTATAAAGGATAATATAATACTTCAACCTAAAAATGACCTGCCAGCTGTGCACAGCTATGTTTACAGTTCTCTTCTTTGATATACTGGCATATTAATTATAATGATATATACAGTAAAATAGCATTATAATCGCTTGCTTTCTTTTGAGTGTTCACTGTGTGTCAGAGACAGTCACTGCAGCATTCTTGCCTTTGAGGACCAGCCACGTGAAATTCCATTCAGTCCTTCCTTCTTCTCTGTTGCTCTCCCCCTTCTTTTCCCTCCTTCTTTCTTCTACTTCTTCCCCTAGCTCTCTCCCTTCTCCTCTTCCTGTCTGTTCCTTTCTATCGACAATGTTAATGGTAAGAATCTTGAGAATCTTTCTGAACTGCACAATGGACTTTTGGAGTATTTTTCAGTACTGTTACATGAAACCGATTTAAAGGGAAAGGACCCACACAATTTGTAATTTTTTTTCAAAGTAATACACAGGCTGGGCATGGTGGCTCCTTGTAATCCCAGCACTTTGGGAGGCTGAGGTTGGTGGATTGCTTGAGCCCTAGGAGTTTGAGACCAAACTGAGCAACATGTCGAAACCCTATCTACACACATACAAAATAAATAAAAATACAAAAAAAAAAAATGAGCCAGGCATGGTGGCATGTGGCTATAGTCCCAGCTACTCTGGAGGCTGAGGTGGAACAATGAACTGAGACCAAGAGGTTGAGGCTAGAGTGAGCTGTGACCATGCCACTGCATTCCAGCCTGGATAACAGAAAAAGACCCTGTCTCAAAAAAAAAAAAAAAAAAAAAAAAGAAAGAAAGAAAGAAAAGAAAAAAAAGAAAAAGAAAAGTAATGTGGTCTTCTATATGAACTTATGCAATTTTTTTCTTTTTGTCACCCGAAATGCATGCCTTTCCAAAGGTACCTTATAACATCAGTGGTTGGCTTGAAAAGAACAAAGATCTCCTTAATGAAACAGTGGTAGCTGTATTTCAGAAGTCTTCCAACAGACTCCTGGCGAGGCTTTTTGAAAATTACATGAGTACTGACAGTGGTGAGTCATACAAACTTCCTTGATTTTTCAGCCTCAGAATGGAACCCATGGCTGCCTCAGCTTTTTCAAAAATTCTTGCTTCTTTCCTGTGATATGTTTCTGTTCCCTGCGGTCTGGGTCATCCCCTCTTATTAGTCTTTTTGTCCTTGGGCTGGGGGTTCTTCAGGGAGATGGTACTAATGCTCTGAGATAGATTCAAGAAATCTGTTCCTGGCCTGCTTTTGTCTTCTACTTCACCTAGCTGCAAAGGGAGAACAAAAAACATATTTTCATGAATAATTTGGGTGCAATATCTATCTATCTATCTATCTATCTATCTATCTATCTATCTATGTAGACTGAAGTATCTTGGAATATTCTCTTTCATAGCACTCTGCGCACTTAGGGTTATTAGAAGCTTCATGACGGCAGGGATCATGTCTGACTTGTCCAACTGTAGCCTCTAGCATGCAGCAAATGCCTGTTTAGCAGGCATTCTCTTCTGACAACTAATCTTGTTTAGTAGTTTGTAATTTACAAAGTACTGTTAGATACATTATCTTAGTCAATTCTTACTATGACACTTTAAGATATATACAGAGTGTTTCTATGTTTACCAGTGTTCCTATTTTACCGCTTACCATGACACTGTAAGATATATGCAGAGTGTCTCGTCTTTCTACCTAGGCTTTGCCATGTAGTAGATTTGTAAAATCTATACAGGAATAAGGATAGAGATGTTAAGTAGCATCCCTGATTTTACAAATCTACTATATGGCAAAGGCTAGGTAGAAAGAAGGACTTCTGTTTTCTAGTTTAGTGCCTATCCCACTCACTGTCTCCCAGGAATAAATAAAACAGAAACTTCTGCACCATCATATGATGGATTTGGAGATACTAAGCCAAAGTTGCTAACACCAGCCTCACTGAATTAAATGCTAACTACATACAGAGGGAAGCTCTCCACTACTTACAGCAAAAGTCACAGATTGACAGCCTTTGAGCAGAAACTGGCCTTCAAACACGTTTTGTTTGGTCCACAAAAGCTAAAAAATCAGATTTCACATACACATTTGAGTTTCCATTTTCTTTTGAAAAAATGGAAATTCTGGGGAAATAGATAATCTAGCCAGCCTGGGTTCTGATTTCCCCATGACAACAGTGTGGCAGAGTACACCAACTGTTCTTTAAATGGGGTGTGTACTCTCACTTTGGATCATGCTTACCCTGCTGTTATCTTACACCCAGCTGCATGTTAACTCCCGGCCCTTCTCAGGCTGATTGGTTCTTCCATCTGACATAGGGAATGGTGAGAGAATTTAGCACTTCCTGGCTTCATCAGCACATGATAACATAATTCTAGAACATGCCTGAAATCCTCTGGGCCAGCCTCAAGAAGAGATGGAAGCTATTGCGTCTGGACCCGGCTAATCTTCATGCAGTACATTTCCCTGATTCTAATAGCTGCTAAAGTACCTCTGAGAAGTCTGTTTGATAGTAGCCATATAAGCTTATGACTCCCAGTTGAGTAATGCTCTGATCATAAGAGATCAGAGAATGGTTTGGGCAGAGAATTAGAGGAGAAATCGTCTTCTAACTCTTCAGGGTATGTTCTGTGTTCTTTGGAACTACAAGACAAGATTTGTCCAGAAAGGCTTTTTTTTTTTTTTTTTTTTTTTTTTTTTTTTTTGTAATTCGTTAAGCACTCTTTGAAAATACTTGCCTCCACATTTCTGACGGATCCAAACATTAAATTGCTTGTAATACTATACTTTCTCCTGGGGAATCCCAATAATTTAAACCAGGGTTAAATTCTTTATAAAAAATTAATGAAAGATAGTGTTATTCCCTTTTCATGGACGGAGAAACTGAAGTACAAAGAAGTCAAGTGTTTCACTTAGAGACTTGGGGTGTTTCAAAAGAACATTTGTGATTAAACTTCATGACATCTGCCACCGCACAGTTGCTACTCAGGCACAGAGAATGTTTTATTAGTTTTCCCTATTGACAGCTAGCCCATTCTCTCCAACTTGACTATGGATTTTGTTGCTGTTGCGTGGCACATCTTAGTGAGTTAGCCTATTCAAATGTTTGTAAAGCTGGTTGGCTTAGAACAGGTTTTTTTGCTTTAAGAAAATGGAAGTAGATTTTTTAAAATAAATCATGGAAATAAATACATGAATGTTGCTAAAAAACAGAGACAACATAGAAAAACTGAAAAAAGAACATGAAAATGATCTGTAATCCCATATAGACTAACAAATGGTTAACATTTTGGTATTTATGCCTCACAACATTTTTCATGTTCATAGTCACCCATAACACAACTGCACTTAAAAACATGTATACACACTTAGGACCATCAAATATAAAATTTAGGCTTTGTAAAGTAACTTTTTCTTTCCAAATATCCTAGAAATCCTTCCATAGAAGTTATACGGATCCATGTCATCATTTTAAAAGCTGTTTCACTGTATGCATATTCTCTCATAAATTAATCTCCTATAATGTGCATTTGTTGATTAATTTTATTTTTGCTTGTTTTGCAATGACTAAATAATACTTCAATGAGTATGCACAATCGCCTGATTATATCCTTAAGGAAAAGCAGTAAAAATACACATTTTGTGATTAAAAGGCATAAATATTTTGAAGCTTTTGGTAGATATTGCCATATTGTTCTAGAACTCTGGTAAACTTATGCTTCCATCAGTGGGGTATGATAATGTGACAAAAATGAGCTTTTTACATGTTTTCATCTTTGTTTTTTGTTTGTTTGTTTTTTTGCTAGCTGTACCATTTGGGGAGAAGAAACGAAAGGAAGGAGCTTCATTCCAAACGATTGCATCTCTGCATAAAGTAATTTTTAATTGCATCTATTCATATATTAATTGCTTCACAATCCGCATGTGTTATTATTGATGTGACATTTCACATCTTCAAATAAGGATAAAATATTGGGAGTTGGCAAGTTGGAAAAGTTGAAGTTTATGTTGTTATTATCAAGGGCTTTAGAGGACACCGTTGGTTCCCACCTACATCCCCTTTATCGTCCCTGCACCCATCTTCCAGCTGATGTGCATATTGGCTCATAACAACTCTCGAGTTGTCAGAACTGGACTTCGCCAAAGAGAAGCTATGCTGCCTCTCTGCCCTCCTCTCCAGACTTTAGCCTCTCCCTTGCTTCAAGGGGGCACCACCTATGGTGAAACTGGTGCATTTGTGTTTTCAGCTCTTGCTTGTAAGGATCAGACTAAAGCTGAGTCTGATTAAATGCTTTTTTCTTCCTCTGTTTTTCCAAGCTTTCTTCACTCCCTAAATAAATCTCTTGAACCAGAATTTCCATCTCAGGTTTGGCTTCTAGAGAATCTGACCTAATACAAATGTTTTCCACGGAGAGAGAACTTGAGAAACAATTTCTTTTTTCGAGTCATTTTATTGTCCCGCCATAAGTTATTGCTATCAAATTCAAAATAGGTAGAGATGATTCATGATGTAACTATGTCTGTCAGGTAAATATTGACTTGCCATAGGAAAGAAGTAATGTGCATTTGGTAGGCAGGAAAGAATATTGAATTCATTATTTTACTGTTAGAATACGTCTTGGCTGTGAGATTAAGTTGATAGATTTGGAGACATTTGTGAAGCGGATTAGGGTTTTTAGTGATTTGCAAAGTGATTTTGTGTTTATTATGGTCTCCATTTTAGGAAAACCTGAATAAATTGATGACTAATCTGAAATCAACAACACCTCATTTCGTGAGATGCATAAATCCCAATGTGAACAAAATGCCAGGTAAGAACTAGATTTCTTTGTAATTCATGCTAGGAAATAGATTTGATTTTATCTATATTGAATATCTTTTTAAGAAATATTTATTGGTGCCTTTTATATAGGGCTAGAATTTAGTATAGAAAAATGAAAATATGTTAAAAATGAGGTCTTTGGAACCTCCTCAAGATTGCCTTGTAAATGAAAGTACAGAAGAATTTCACAAAGCAGGCTCAATTGGACATTAGAATGTTTGCTATTACTATTTAAATTCCTCCTTGAATTTATGCTCAACATGGATCAGCTCCCATGCCATTGTCTACAAGGGCAAACTATAAAAAAAAAGAATTGAATAATCAGTTAGGGAATTAAGGTAGATATTTCAACATAAGGGAAGTTATTTGGTCTGAGTTATCTAAATTGACCATAAAGACAGTTCCTAAATCCATTTCTAATTGTGATAACACCCTCTAGTCCTCCTTGCCAATGCCAGCGTCTTCTTCCCTCTGTCTAATAGCATCCATTTTTTTTAGTTATATAATTCTGGGCAGTGGATATCTTTTGAGCAGTGAATGGTGGTAGGGGGATGATGTGATAGGTAAATGATGGTGATTTTTTAAAAAAATGTTTTCAGTTCCCCAAACAAAGGTTTTACCAAAATTAACTACATAGATTACCTTCCTTACTTCATGAGCTTGAAGATTCCCAGACATCTCTTTGGAATTATAGGCCTCTCTGGAGCTTTGTTTGGAGGCTGTCAGCCTCCAAGGAGTGCATATGACAAGCCCTATGTCTTCAGAGCACTAACCACCCTTGTAATACGTAGCCAGATGTTGCTGGTTCTGATTTCTGAGGTTCTATAGTGTGTTGCGTTTTTATTAACCTCCTGTAATTAGGACTCCAATGCTGACAGTCGATGGCCTATTTTGGGCAAGTGGCTGTGATACAAAACAATGATGCTGCAGTTTGAGTTTTTGCAATACAAACACTTCATGTTCATTCATGGCTGTATGTTTTTGCCTCATTGTTTCCTATCAGCTGGGTTTCTGGATGTGTCTAGGGACACTGCTTCCATCTAGCAAGGAATCTAATTAGCTGCATTCTATTTTGGAGCAATTCTGTTACCTATTAGAGTTGCTTCCCATCGAGTCAACTTGGATTTCAGCAGGTTTGGTTTTTTTCTTAAAGTCATAAGACAAAGTCATAAGAAAAGCTTCATGATCTAATCCAGGCATCCCCAGACTTTTTACACAGGGGGCCAGTTCACTGTCCCTCAGACCGTTGGAGGGCCGCCACATACTGTGCTCCTCTCACTGACCACCAATGAAAGAGGTGCCCCTTCCTGAAGTGTGGCGGGGGGCCAGATAAATGGCCTCAGGGGGCCGTAGTTTGGGGATGCCTGAAATCAGAACAGTTATTCCGATACACTTAAAGAGAATGAGTTTGATGTTAAGGTGTCATAGGATTCTACTACTTGTACCCCCCTTTTTTTTTAAAAAAAAAATAACACTTTTAGACAGAGTCTTGCTTTGTCACTGAGGCTAGAGTGCAGTGGCTGGAGTGCAGTGGTATGATCTCGGCTCACCACAACCTCTGCCTCCTGGGTTCAAGCAATTCTTGTGCCTCAGCCCCCTGAGTAGCTGGGACTACAGGTATGTACCATCATGCCTGGCTAAGTTTTGTATTTTTAGTAGAGACAGGGTTTCACCATGTTGGTCAGTCTGGTCTCGAACTCCTGGCCTCAAGTGACCTGCCCACCTCAACCTCCCAAAGTCCTGTGATTACTGTAATGAGCTGCTGTGCCTGGCCAACTTGTCGCTTCTTATAGATTATCTGTTTCTGTCTGTGAATGGAATTCGAGTATAGACATATAGGTATATGGTTTAAGTTTATTACTGTGACCTTGGGCATAGAGTCCTTTCTGTTTTTTTGTTTTTTCATTTTTCATGTAATACCTTAGTAGGAATTTGTGTTAGGAGATGTGGTCCTTGGCTTCTTTCAGAAGACTCACTGAGGGCAGGGACAGTGGCTTCTTGGATGATTTTTCAAAGGCTCCTATTGGAGATTGCAGCTGACAGCTGCAGGAGAGCTTCTTTTGATGAATGAGAAGGTGACAGAAGGATGCTTTATACTACAGAATAGAACTTAGACCCTCTCACGAAAATAAGGGGAGAATGAAGTCTGGGATGTGGACAAGTCCTTCCTAAGCAAAATTGTAAACAGAATGTGTGGTTATGTCCATCTTCCCTTCTTTCTTATCCCATTCCCCTCCCTGCACGGAGATGACAGTTCTCTTTTGTGTTCTTACCACCCTTTCTAAGCTGGTTTTGGTTGGAAAATGAATATGAGACCAGCCATTTACATTCTAGCAAAAAAAAATGTAATCTTTTTGCCTTCCAAAAATATTTGCTTATAAACGTCTCATCTAACTGTGAATTAAGGAGCTTGTTCCATGGTAAAGGAATTTTAGGCAAATCATTTTTGGAGATGCCTACATAATAGGATGATTACCGTGAGTATTATCAGGCCATAAGTGAGTAAACTCCTCTGACCTATCATGTAGAAAATATCCAGTTCAGACTATTTCTTTTTAACTCAAGATGCAGCAATTGGTACAAAATCTGGGCTAATAATTTTTTTAGGCACAGATCCACCATGACCCATTTTTTCCAGGTGTACTGGACCCTTACTTGGTTCTGCAGCAGTTGCGCTGTAATGGCGTCTTGGAAGGGATTAGGATATGCCGTGAAGGTTTTCCAAACCGACTGCCGTATGCTGATTTTAAACAAAGGTAAACATTCATTCCAGGATCCCAGAAGCCAGAGGCTGCTCATTTTGTTTTCCTCCCCTTCCGCATGTTTAGGCATGCATTATTTGTTTGGTTGATGTCCTCCAGACTAGAAATCGATGTGTTTTGGTGGTGGTAAGATATATAATGACAGAGTTCCATTATTTTTTCCCTTAAATCCAACATCCATGTAACTGTAATATCCTTAAATCTCTATTAACAGATAATAGACCCACATATAGAAGAAATATATACAGAAGAAACATATGGAAGCTGAATTGAGTCTCTGAAATGTTGTGTATACTTAATCGTAGCTGCCATCCAAACAGGCTGTGGCTTTATTAGCAAGCCCCTGAAAGGATGCAAGCCTGCAGGTATATGGCAGGAGGCAGGAGCAGCATCTTTTCTATTTCCTGGATTCTAGAAGTTTAAATTGTAGGTCATCAAGTCAATCTGAGCAAAGTCTGGTGGAGTAAAAAGGGACATATTTCTTACTTTAGAATTAAGAGGCATATTTCTTGTTTTCCACCAACTCACCAACAGGGTCAAAGAATCCTGGAAAAGACATTTAATGACTCTGCTTTTCCATTTCCTTATCCATACAGTGGAGATACTTATGCTTTCCCCCTCCCTCTCTTTCCTCTTCCAATCCCCCCTACTCCTGCCACCACCTAAATTGAGCAATCAGTCAAATGAGGTTGCCTTTTCAACAGTATGAAAAGTACAAACTATTATACCAATGCAAGAGATTATTGCTTGTACCCTCATTATTGTTACTAAGAATCTTGTGAAAATTGAACATATTAGGAACAGATAAAAATCTATATCTCCTTTCACCTCATTTGTCTAAGATTCGTCTTTACTTGAATAATAGGATTTTCCAACCCCAGGATTTTTTCTTTGTTTTAAATTAGGTACTGCATCCTGAATCCGAGGACCTTTCCAAAGCGCAAGTTTATGAGCAGCAGAAAAGCAGCCGAAGAGTTACTTGGCTCCTTGGAGATAGACCACTCCCAGTACCGATTTGGAATCACTAAGGTAACCAGAAAACTGCAAAGAATGCATTTAGAGATGAATGTGTGTATCTTAAAATACCTGCGAACATTCAATTAATAAAGCATTCTTCAGCGCTCATGACCACAAATATCACAAATAGATCTCAGCTGAAGGTGAAAACTTCAGTGCTGTTTGAGAAAAAAAATTCAATGTTTTTTAAACCTCAGTTTTGACTACATTTAAATTTAAATAATTAGTCATCTAAGCAAATTTCTGCCAAGATATAAAATACTGAATCAACTTGATGGTATGAGAAGACATGTATATATCAGAGGTAGAAAAAGGTAAATCAACTTGCTGGAGCTAATGGCTTGTCTGTGTGTGAACTGATTCATCCACAGTATCCTTTTAGGGACTAATTACTAGAAGACTATTTGAGTAATTTAAAACTTCAGTGTTAACCCACTATCAAACAATTAATCCAAAACCAACTTCCTTAAATGTAATTTCTTAAATTCTACTTCATCTTAGATGATCTTGGCATGACCCACATATTTTGAGAAACTTCTAACTAATTAATAGGTTTGGTCTTATCTGGCAGTCAGTATCAGTTTGTTCCTAATGACATCCATATAAGAAACAAATTATTTGAACGAGAGTTGGAAAATTTAGGATAAAGAACTCATAGAATTAGAACTCTGTAGGATATGGTTATAAAATGGTGACTCCCATATTTTGAGTAACTTGAGAGTCAGTTTCTGTTGTTTATTGTTTCTGCTGATTTTCACTGACAATGCCTTCCTGGTGTGTTTAGTTATTTTTGCTGTATACTATTCATCTGGGCCAAGATTGACATGAGGCAAGTGAAGCTCCTAAGGCACAAATTTCAAGGAGGCTCTTATTCTCAGGGTTGAGCAAGTGAGGCGGAGAGGCACACACTCTCAGGACACTCTCACACTGGGTGTCTCCATAAAATGTGTGCCTTAGGCACCTCACTCATTTCACCTTGTTTCTTAGTAATTATTCTTGAAAAAATACTTTTGTGGATTATTTGATGCCCAGACAAAAGTGCCTTACTCTAGAACAGAGGTCAGCAAACTATGGCCCAAGAGCCATATCTATGGACTATTTTTTTTTAAATGGCCTACTAGCCAAAAATGGCTTTACATGGTTCATGTTTGTTTAAACAGCAAGAATATCCTACAGAGATTGTATGTAGCCCTTGAAGCCTAAAAATATTTGCTATCCGATCCTTTACAGAAAATGTTTGCAGAACCATACCTGGTACTTTGGAGCGCTGCATGCCTGATCCCATCTTAAAACTTAAGCCAGGTCCCCTGAGCAATCAAGACAAAAGGGAAAGAAATAAGCAGAAAAATAGTTTAAGTTCTTAAGCAAACAGTAGAACCACAATTTAATAAAAAGTCTTTTGTACATTTTAGATTTGTAAAATCAAACTTTCTAGGAAGTAGATTTTACACATTAAATAAATTTAACAAGAAATAGAATTGATATATTTATCCCTAGGAACACAAAAGTTGTTCACAGGATCAATAGACCTTTGCTGAATACCCATTATGAGTGGAGCTAACATCTGACTTTTCTTTTAGGTATTTTTTAAAGCTGGGTTTCTGGGCCAACTGGAAGCAATGAGAGATGAAAGACTGGCTAAAGTCTTCACATTGTTCCAAGCCAGAGCACAGGGCAAACTGATGCGAATCAAATTCCAGAAGATTCTAGAAGAAAGGTATTATATGCCCACCCTGCACCCCCACTGCTAGGGTAATAGTGTGCTTCAACCAGTACAACCTAATCTCATTTCCTTATAGCAGGCAAGAGCTGCTTCCTCTGCTTAGGCTGGGTCTTAAACATATTGATTGATTGATTGATTAATTGAGACAGAGTTTCGCTCTGTTGCCCAGGCTGGAGGGAGGTGACAAACTCTTGGCTCACTGCAACCTCCGACTCCCAGGTTCAAGCAATTCTCTGCCTCAGGTTCCTGAGTAGAGTAGCTGGGATTATAGGCACCCATCACCATACCTGGCTAATTTTTTGTATTTTTAGCAGAGATGAGGTTTAGCCATGTTGGCCAGGCTGGTCTTGAATTCCTGACTTCGTGATCCACCCACGTCAGCCCCGCAAAGTGCTGGGATTAAAGGTGTGAGCCACCAGCCTGGCCAAACATTTTTAAATCATGATATAACAAAAAGAGTGCAAAGGGATTTTATTGCCCTATTTAACCAAGTATAAGCATAATTCAGATATTTCTTGCCGTGCTTTCAGGCTTTCCTTTGGGAGGATCTTTGTATTTTGAGAAGTCTGGATCTCTGACAGTGGTGTGACTCACAATTTATATCAGAAGCCGACCTGGAAAGGTTTGCATATATCCCATAGCCAACTCTGAAAGGAAGTATGCTTCAAAGACCAAGGTGTTCTGACTCCTTTATTACCTCCCCTGGGTCAGAAACTGTGGCTCTTGTTGACATGTAATCATAACTTTCTTACTTTATTTCAGGCAGGTTCACTAGGGACATTTATCACCATGCTTGGACATTCTTAGGCATTGATTTTGTCTATTCTTTTTTTTTTTAATTGCATTTTAGGTTTTGGGGTACATGTGAAGAACATGCAAGATTGTTGCATAGGTACACACATGGCAGTGTGATTTGCTGCCTTCCTCCCCATCACCTATATCTGGCATTTCTCCCCATGCTATCTCTCCCCAATTCCCCACCCCCTCGTCCCTCCCCTATTTCCCCCCTACAGACCTCAGTGTGTGATGCTCCCCTCTCTGTGTCCATGTGTTCTCATTGTTCAACACCCGCCTATGAGTGAGAACATGTGTCTGATTTTCTGTTCTTGTCAATTTGCTGAGGATGATGGTTTCCAGGTTCATCCATGTCCCTACAAAGGACATGAACTCATCATTTTTGATGGCTGCATAATATTCCATGGTGCATATGTGCCACATTTTCCCTGTCCAGTCTATCATCGATGGGCATTTGGGTTGGTTCCAGGTCTTTGCTGTTGTAAACAGTGCTGCAATGAACATTTGTGTGCATGTGTCCTTATAGTAGAACGATTTATAATCCTTTGGATGTATACCCAGTAATGGGATTGCTGGGTCATATGGAATTTCTATTTCTAGGTCCTTGAGGAATCGCCACACTGTCTTCCGCAATGGTTGAACTAATTTACACTCCCACCAATAGTGTAAAAGTGTTCCTATTTCTCCACATCCTCTCCAGCATCTGTTGTCTCCAGATTTTCTAATGATTGCCATTCTAACTGGCATGAGATGGTATCTCAATGTGGTTTTGATTTGCATTTCTCTAATGACCAGTGATGAGAGCATTTTTTCATATGTTTATCTATTCTTTAATAGAATCATGGAAAGCAAGCTAGGAAAATCTCTAAACAATGGGAGATGAAGATGCTGAAGTGAACCAAGGGATGCTGAAGTTGTATTTACTTTTTCCTTAGCATATGTTATCTTCTGAAGAGAGATCTGCAGATCTCGGTATAACTTGTTTAATTGACAGTTTGTTAATTCTGTTTCTTCCTGAGAGAAAATGCTTATTTTATCGTGATGTTAAAGATATTAGAGAGATGACTGTTCAGGGTCTTCTCTGACTCTCAATGTGGTATGGGGGTCTGGAGATCAGGGAACATGGCTTCTAGGACTAGTTGTGTAAAGTAGGGTAAGATTCTTAATTTCTCCATCGTTTACTTTCTTCATGTCTAAAGTGAAGACTTTATGATCCGTTCTGTCTAAATCGTGACTTTAGAGATTATTCTGAAAGATCTCCAGCAAATAAAAATACAGAAAATATTATAATGCATACTCATGGAGCCATCATGAAAGCATATCAATTATTAACATTATTATTATTACTCTTTTTTTTTTTGTAGAAACAGGGTCTCCCTATGTTGTCCAGGCTGATCTCAAACTCCTGGCTCAAGAAAACCTCTTGCCTCAGCCTCCCAAAACGCAAAGATGATAGGCATGGGCCATGGCACCCAGCGAACTCTTAACAATTTTTTTTCTGTCATTGCTAACAACATTAAAAAAATAAACATACATAGTTGAAGCCCCCATATAGTTCCGCTGTAATCCTAAGTCTTACCTTTGTCTTCTCAGATCCTGACTTTGTGTTTCTCATTCCATGTCTTCTATATAAATCATATAAAAGTATGTTTTTATACCTTTACTTACTTGATATGCAGATATCCTTAAAATGTGACATGATTTTACATGTGCTTAGTCTTCACAGTAAATAATATTCTGTATATATTGTCCTGAAGTTTGTCTTTTATATTCAGTATTATTCTTTGGAATGTATCATTGTTAATAAATCTAGGGCTAGATTATTGATTTTAACTACTCTATAGTATTCTGTTAAATGAATATATCATAATTTATCCATTTCCCAGCTTAAGTAAATTTGTTATTTCCTTTTTTCTTTTTTTCTTTTTTGTTTTTTTGCTACCAACTTTCTGCAGTGACATTTTTATAAATGTCTTCCCATGCATATTTGTAAGAGTTTCTTGAGGCCATCATTACTCACAATACTCCATTTTCTGGTAACAGTTTGTGGACAGCAGTTGGTCTGAGGCACACATTTTGAGAGGAGTTTCTCTAGAGGATGAATTAATAATAGGTTCTAGGTCAGACACAACTTCAGCTTTGCAAGATGTTGCCAAGTTGGTTTCCAATATACCATACTCTCCACCAGTAATGTGTGAGAGTCCCCCTGTCCCATGTTCTCACCACTTGAGGTATATCAGCCTTTAAAAACTTTTCCCAAATGTCTTCATATTTCTGACTTTGAGGAAAGTTATCATTTCTCTTTGAAGAATGATGTTTTCTGTAGATTTTTTTTTGTAGATGTGACTTATTGTATGAAGGACATTGCTTCTATTTTGTTTTGCTAAGCATTTTTATCAGGAAATGACTTCATCATTTATCTACATCTATTGAAACAATCACCTAGTTTTTCTTAATTAATCTATAAATGTGTGGAAATGTATTAACAGATTTTTTAAAATGTTAGACTTACTTTGCTTGAGAAGTATTTTCATACATTGATGGGTTTGATTGTAATATTACCATGAGATTTTTACATCAATATTCATGAATAAGATTGTCCTGTAATTTTCTTTTCATCTGCTATGTTATCTGAACTTGAATCAAGGTTATCCTACCCTCATAAAACAGTTGAAGAATGTTTAGTCTCTTCAAAACATGAACCAGTTTATAACCGTATATTTGAATCTTTAGTGGGCATGGCCTATAAAATCATCTGGATCTGGTGGTTCTTTTGTGATAGGTTTTATAATTTTGATTCCATTTATTTATTGGTTACATGTCTAATGAGGTATTTTCTTCTTGAATTAGTGCAGGAAAGCTTTATTAAAAAAGAAAATTTACATTCTTGTGAGTTTTTCAATTTGATAGAGTTTTAATTTAATTTAATTTAATTTTTGAGACAGAGTCTCTCTCTATCGCCTAGGCTAGAGAGCAGTGGCATGATACCAGGTCACTGCAACCTCCACCTCCCTGGTTGAAATGATTCTTGTGTCTCAGCCTCTTGAGTAGCTGGGATTACAGGCATGTGCCTCCATACCCAGCTAATTGTATTTTTAGTAGAGATAATGTTTCACCATTCTGGTCAGGCTGCTTTGGAACTCTTGGCCTCAAGTGATCTGCCTGCCTTGGCCTCCTAAAGTGTTGGGATTACAGATGTGAGCCACCACACCTGGCCTTATTATTTTTAAATTTCTACTGTATCTATAATTCTATTCCTAGTGCATAATCCTAAATTATTTATATTTCTAGAGTGTTATCACTCCTAGTATTTTTTTCTTGTGCCTTCTCTCCTTTTTCTGGACCATTCATGCCACATGTTTATTTACTGGATTTAACAAACCACTTAAAATTTTTTTCTAGATCATTAATTTCTGATCTTATTTTTATTCTTTCCTTTCTTCTACTTTCTTTGTGTTTATTCTTCTTCCCTTTTCAACTTTATTCAGTTATAATTGACAAAAGCTGTATGTATTTATGGTGTATATCTGATGTTTTGATAGATGTATGTATTGTGAAATGATTACCATGATCAAGCTAATTATCACCTCACAAAATTATCTGTCATGTGTGTATGTGTGTTTGTGTGTGTGTGTGTGCGTGCATGCCCGCGCACATGTGGTGAGAACACTTAAGAGCTACTCTCTTAGCAGATTTCCAGTATACGATACAGTATTAGTAACATACTGTATATTAGATCCTCAGAACTTACTCATCCTGCATAACTGAAGAGTTATGTCCTTTGAACAACAGCTCCTCATTTTCCCCATGCCCTGGCTTCTGGTAACCACTATTCTACTCTCTATCTCTGTGAGTTTGGCTTTTTTAATATCCCACATATGAGTGAGATCATGCTGTATTTGTCTTTCTGTGCCTGGCTTATTATACTTAGCATAATGTCCTCCAGGTTAACCCATATTGTCACAAATGACAATGTTTTCTTTTTTAAGGTTGAATAATATTCCATTGTATACAGATGCCACATTTCATTTATTTATTTGTCAATAAATACTTAAGTTGATTCCACATCTTGGCTATTGTGAATAATAGTACAATGAACATGGTAATGCAGATATCTCTTCAAAATAATAATTTCATTAGTATTTTATTAAGCATTTTTCTTCAAACTGTTTTCCATAATGGCTATACCAATTTACATT